ACAAAAAATACACAATGCAAAGTATGAAGGACACAAGTATAAAATGTGTCATACAATATGAAAGCAGTCGCCTTTTTACTGTTGCCACACCTTCCTCTCTGTACGGCATCATATTTCTCTGCGGTTTTGATCTCAGTATGATCCCATGTGAATAGCTGCAAGCTCCAATTACTATTTGTGAATAGAAAAGTCTTGAAAAAGAAACAAAGACAGAATAGCTATTAACAACGCTGATACAAACAACAAGTTCCTCTTTGTGTTATTGTGACTGGCATGTCAGTCATAAAAGAAGACAGGCCTGAAATACTTTGTCTTGTTTAGTATATTCCGATTGCTGCATGCCCGTCTGTTTTTATGCTGTATCCTCTTACTGTATATGTGCTTTGAAGCTGTTTGTCCACTTTTTGTATATGTTGTGTGTTTTGTTTATTGTATAACATCAGGGATTGCACATGATTATTAGCCTGTTTGCCTAAATCTGACAAATTTACATCTCATTAATGTTAATCAAAGAGTGTTATCCCTGATGAATACACGAATGAAGTGAAAGTACATCTTTAAAGTTATGTACTTAAAGTACTTGAATGCATATAAAATGAGGTACGATAACCAAATGTTCTGTGTTATAGCATGTTAATTTTAGTTTAAAAGTACGTGACAAATTTACAACGCAATAATGTGCAGCCTGAAATGGTGAAGGTCAGTACCGAAAATGAAGATTCCCATAATTGATTTGCTAATTAGTTGCCATGTAAGCCACCAAATGGAGAAACAGTCTGTAGCAAATGCTGCAGAAACTCTTCCTCAGCAGGTGGCTGCACTTGCCTTGAGCATGGAAACAGAAACAACAAATGCATACAGTTGTGCAAACAGATATGTTTGTGAAATAAAGAGATACAGATGGTAGCTCTGCTTTAGGGAATGTACACTGTGGGTCGATGTTCATAATTTCAACGGATATTTCCGAACACTCTCAGATGTCAGGACGCTGGTGCTGGGCCCGGGGGACTCCTCAAAACAACTGAACATTCAACGCTGCACATCGTTTGGTCGTCACCACAACACGTCATGTGTCAAGTCAATTGAATGAATGGTTTTTGAAGCTCCTTCCATTTTTGTTAGATGGCCAAGTTCATTTCAATGAGACACTATGTGTTATCTTACATGAGAGCTAACACAATGTCACATGAGAGCTAACATGATGTCAGTCAGGTTTCTAATTTTAGAGACATCTCCCTTAGAAGGAGGACCAACTAAAACTCATCAAACAGCCGTTGAAGCAGCATCAGTCGGGCTGAGCGCTAAAGTCAAAGTGGAAATTTGATATCAGATATTTAAATGTAACATTACAAAAACAGTAGTGTGGCTGAACAAGGCTGCTGATCTGGTAATACAGACACACCAGACTGTTAAAGAAAGTTGTTTTTGTAATGTAAATGTGTGTATACATACTGTATATAATGCACACAGTATAGTATAGATAATTCGAAAAAAGGGACGATACATTTGCTTATTTATTTGATCTTTTAAACAGAGTTCCATGTAGTTTCACTTTTTGTACTAAATTAAATTGAGAGGAAATATTTGAACTTCACTGTATCTTAACAAAGATCCAGGAGGATTACATCCCATTTGGGATCAGACAGCAATTTGCTGCTTTGCGAGAAGGCCAGTCTTGCTGCACTGCACATGTGGGCAGAGAATGAGAGGAAAGTTTGCTCACCTCTCCATCATAATCTGTTATTCATCAAAGAGATCTATTTTCCGCCCCTTTCCGTGCCTCTTCACTGGACTCTAAACTCTGACAAAGTGCCCAGGTCCATGCCCTTTGATGATGATTTATGAGAGTTATCCTGAGGATGTTGTCAGATCAGAGGATGTGCTGTGGGTGTAAACCTGGGTGGTGACACGTGAAGAGTAAATAATAAAAAAGATGGTGTTTTTATCTGTAATTCGGAAAGATTATCTTGTGATCGAGTGCTGCTTTCAAAATGTCTGGAAAAGATTGAAAGAAGGTCAACTTGGCTCAACTCCGTTCAATTGAACCTAACATTGATCATTAACCCTCATTTGTAACGTGTTTTTCTATAATTAGGGGTGTCACAAAACAGGACTCAAGCCATTATCATCAGATGGAATCAAAGGAGTAGTAATATATAATATTGATTTATTTATATATACTCATTTTCACGCAGTTTTATATGAAACTTGTCTGTCATAAACACAAAATGAAGTTTAATTCTAGAGAGCAAATATTCACCTAACTGATTATTTTCCCAACTTTTTCAGGCTTCTAAAGTATGCCGCTGTGGTAATGTATAATAATACACAAATTCAAAAATACCCACACTCCTCAAAATGAATTCTATTGTGTGTGAAATCTAGCTGTTGTTCAACTTCTATTGCTTTGACATAATGCGTTTTGCCAGCCTTTTCTTAAACTGACACAGAATGAAGAAGGGTTGCGGCCTCCTCCTGTTTAATTATAGCGCCCTGAGAAAAGCAGCAGATGCCAACAAAAGACATCAAAACAGCTATTTGCATGAAGACAGTCTCATTTCAAAATGAGTCCAAAACTATACTTTGGTTTATATTTTCTGCATTCTGAATGTGTTCTCATGAAGGGAAATGTATCCAAGAGCTTTGCAATTATTTCACGTAGTAGTACTCGTGTCAATTGGTTTATTATTACTGCTGTATGATAAAATGAGAAAAATGTAATTTAGTTTCTGACAGGCATAAGACCAGAGGCAGCTAAATCTTACATAAATGTTAAAGTGATATTCTATTTCACACTTATAGTCAAAAAAAATTCCTCTGCATTGCTGCTTATAATCAATCATTTATAAAATACTTTGCCTTGGGCTGGTTAATTATTATTAAACATTATGGTATTGATTTAAACTATATAGAAAACACTAAGTTTTATAACCCGAGGTAATGCTTTATGAAGCATTTGCCAAACTTCAGGGAACAACAATTGTTAAATAAGCATTTTAACAGCATCTCAAAGCATCCACACTACTAATTAAATTACTAAATATTAATTTATTTAGATGGAGATTTTTTCTGCAGTGTTACATTCCCATTAAATGTATTTGAACCCTTTGTTAGCTGTGTGCATACTGTGGCTGTCAGCAAGTAGTTTGAGACAGTGTCTGTGAATAAGGTAAGCCTAATAAACTAAATTCATTTTGACTGCCATCTACTTTGACTCTGTAAAAAATATATGTCTTTATATATATGCTATTTCAATCTTTGTAGTTGTAGTGTAGCAAGAAGAAATATAATCAAAACGCTTGTCAACATAATTACCAGTGCGTCTTTGAAGACTCAATATTTTCCTCCCTGCAATATTCTTCTCTCTAAAAAAAACATAATTTGTCTCACACACTATCACTACCCTCATAGGTCTATTTGCAATATTGCATAGTTATTTTTGAACATTCAAATACACAGTTCAGAGAACTGTATAGCCCTGTTCTCTGCAGTCTTTCTACATTAAACAGCTTGTAAGAGGGAAACCTAATGAAAGTGGTGCCACCAGAACCTGAATCTGTTTTCATATCCTACAAATATTCAAATCAACACATCTTCAGTAATAACAGGGTATCTGCAGGATTCATAGAGATGAATTTACTACCTTTTACTACCTTTTTTACTACCTCCACAATATTTTTTACTACCAACACGACATCAAGCAGCAGCCCTTTTTGGACTACTAATTATAAGGTATTAGTGTGACACTGTCACACCCGTCATACATATCAGGTACACTAATGTTTAATTGTGATCATTAAGTATTGTCATTGTCAATTGTGTTTTTTTTTTGTAGTGTTGAGTTGACCCTTAGCCCTAATAAAGTGAGTAATAACCTTGACACTTCTTAAACACATATCACTTAACAACCATAAATATTAATAATAAAGTGTCACATCACACACACTTACTCACAAACACGCATTCTCTCACAAACACGCATTCTCACACACACACAACACACACACACACACACCACACACAGCACAACACACACCACACAGCACACACACACACACACACACACCACACACCACACACACACACAACACACAACACCACACACACCACACACGCACCACACACACACCACAACCACACCACACACACACACAGCACACACACACACACACACACCACACACACACACACACACACACACACAAGCAGTTACTGGGTGCGTATTAATAATGCGTATTATGAAAAAATGAAATCAATCAAATAAATATAAACTTTAATGAACAATATGCTCTGAGGACTACAGCTTTCAAAGACTGCTTGCTTCAATATAACATTTCACCATATTTAAACACAATAACGTGTGTGAGGAGTGCATGTATGCACATGTCTGTGGGTTGCGCCTTTGTATATGGATGTTGTTGTTGTTGCAATCTACATTTGTATCACTAAGTGAATCATTTATAAAACAATAACTGTAGGGGTGTACGTGTGTGTGTGTTTGTGTGTGTGCGTGTGCCTGCATTCGTCCTGTGGGTGTGCCTTGTGTGCAGTTTGTTGCAATCTACATTGTATCTAAGAGAACATTTAAAACAATAACTGTGAAGGGGTGTACAGTCACAGAAGTCTCAGTTGTGGAGGACTTATCTTCAATTATTTTCTCCAATTGCAGAGCTCTTCTTTTTTTTCTTTCTGCCTTCTGCGAAGGGTATTGGACTTGATTATCATTATCAGCAATGGACGCCAGCCTTTTCAGCTAAACGCGACTCCTTTGCCAGCGCGTACAGCCTAACACGGCGAAGTACCTTCTTCCTGTCTGCGAAGAACTGCAGCCACTCTTTGCCTCCGCTTGCGTTCCTCAGTTCGTTGTCAAGGCGACATAACGAGTTCGTCTGAAGAATCTATAGCTGATGACCAGGACTCTTCGGCCATGAGCACTTTGCGCAAGGGCACTTGCAACAAAGACACTCCCAACTGGATTCTGTCACTATCTCCTGCATGCGACGCATGGTGCGGTCATGAGATTACAGGTCTCCACCTCTTTATCACTGATCCTCTTCACAGTGGCAACGGATGCAAGTGGAGACATTGAAATCACGGGATCGTTTTACTCGCCTGAATGCAGACGGCACATCAGTGCTATCACAGAGGCTTCAGCTAGGTGACGTCCTTTGTTGGGACGCGAACTACTATCTCACATCACACTATCTAAACCATAACTGTTGATATCAATGTCAGCAAATTAGCACCATTGAATGCCATGTGCAGTCATTTAATCACCGTCCGTACTATAGGGCATGACATTTACTGCACTTTCTCGTAGCACCTGTAGACATGTTAAGTCAATAATTCCTTCTCTATTTGTCTGCACGTGAGCTACTACCACTTCTCACTGATTGATGGCAACAGACCCAGTTAACAGATACATCCGGTGGTGAGATCTCATAGTGAGGTCGAGACAACACTGCAACATGTGAATGGGGCTCATGGCTTGCAAAGTTCTTGACAGCACGCAACATCTTTCCGAGATGGGTTTGCTATAGAAGTGACTTCCTATTCAACTCTGAGTCTTTGTTTACTCAAGGTATAACATCTTACTTGATTTCTAAACGATCTGGATGCGAGACATCACACTCTTCACGATATGTAGGAAATGTCTGGACAATAAGACTTGTCGTTTGCTTGTGCTGCTCTCTCCGTGATACAGAGAGAAGAGAGACACGTGTGGTGGGTGTGGTATCAGGTATCTATGTGGCTTTAAACTTGCAAATCTTATGTATGAGGGTGTACTTGGATGTTTTGCGAATTTCTGCATATGAGTCTAGATAAATGTAATGATCATATGCACATGTACAGTTCAGGTGAGGTTTAGACAGCACTTCATAAACAACATTCATCTGCCTTGCTGATTAATGAGAGACTCCTGCAATGTTAATATTTAAAAGCCAATCGTAACATTTTAACAGACTTGTTAAAATATGTGTTGTATATGCATACCATGACTAACAGTGCAGTTAATCATCAAGTGGAATAGTGCCTGTGTGTGCGTGAAGTATGCTGGGTTGGGTATGATTGTAATAGAGCACAGTTAGAGTGCAATGGTTTTCTCTGAGGTGGTTTTGATATTGTCAGTGTTATTAAACTCAGGTGGCGCAAGCTGAGTTATAAGCAGCGACACCGAATCGGTGGGATGAGCGATGGAGTAGTGAAGTATGCTTTAGATGAGTTCAGGAGTAGGCCATGGGACAGTGTCAACTGCTAGTCATCGGAGCATTACGACTGACTACACACCATAGCACACTCACTTTGTTCCTTCCCATAATTGCTACGTTTTTCACATCATATGTGTGAGAAAAAGTATAGAGTGTGGTATATCCTGTACATGGCTGTGAGTTCAGTGTATCATCATGCCACTGTGCATGACTCACAGCATATACCACCTGATAGCAGGAAACATACACTTGGCATACATCTGCATGAGACACTCATGCGGAACATTTTAGCTTTTTAGGTATACTTACACACAGTTACCACATTCAGTCAGATAGAGATGTCATAAAACATTCAGTCAACATCAGATAGAAGTCAGATAACCATTAACTACCACACAATTCACCATACTGTTCAAAGACAGATTCACACAGACATCACATCACCTATGAAATACAGACAGCGGCACCAGTACTTACAGCTACATTAAGTATCAGAATGCCCACATGCAACACACATCACACTACAGGGATCTACTACACGTTCGCAGTCAACTCTTTATTTGTGCCAGACGCACATTCTCATGTATGACATTGGAAGTATCTGCAGTAATCTAACTTTGCTGGCAAGATTCAGCACCGCAGGCGTCGTGTCCACATTTTTCAGAGCCTACGCCAGTTCAGTTCTTCTCCTCAGACGACCATGGATTCAGCTAAGACAAGCACATTAAGCAGCTACGAGCTAACTCAGCACACGATCATAGAGCCAGTCACGCTATTATGATTCACTAGCGAAGCTCCACAGACAAGATGAGCAGCTACATATAGTTACACTAACAGCTACACGGGCACGCAACACACACATACCGTAGATATATATAATGCTGATCAATATCACAGACAAGTCATTCACTTCAACAGCAGACACAGCAGCAGACACCCACACACTCTCAATACAGACACACACACAAACAAACACACACACACACACAGCAGACAGCAAAACATACCACACACGACACAACATACACACCACACACAGGCACACGACACAGCACATCATCACACACCCACAGACAAACACACACAGCATGAACATACCACATATACCTATCACACACACACACGCAACGGCACACACACACAACACACAGACAGAAAATACAGCTTTCTAACACAGAGCAAACACTTTCACAGCATCAGAGCAACACACAGACACAGGACAGCACAAATGACAGATAGTGCATGCAGTGAGATAGGACAAGACCCACTCTCAGTCATTGACAGGAAGATATTCTTTTTAATTGCTGAAAAATAATTATGAAATTGGGAAACAATCCAAAGGCTATCGAAATAGTCTAGTATCAAAGGGGTAACACTTTTTGGTGTGGTAATGTGTAATTTTCTTTATCTGAATTTTCTTTTTGTACTTTTCTCCTCTGGCAACCTGACGACTCGCATCGCAAACTTCTGCTGCACCTTCGCGCCGTCAGCCAGCTTCACACATCTGCAGTGTTTGTCTTGGTTGTGTCATGCAGCACTTATCACACTACCTCGCTCCTCCCATGACACACATCCTGCAAATTCTTCAGCTCGGCTCTTCGCTTCAGACTCGCGCTCGCGCCACACGTTCAATATTTCTATTTAACCATACTGTCACTCTTCGCTCTTCTAGGGTGTTCATCATGTTTGAAAATTCTGTCGGTAAAACAGCGCTTTTTGCTTTACCCGCTCTTAAGTGCTTGCGTTCTCTCACTCTTGCGCGCTCTCGCTCAGCTTCACGTCTGTTAGCGCTCACTCGCTCGCGCCAGAATGTTCCCCGATTATCGCCCTCTCTGCACTCTCATATGTGTGCTTAATTCTTGTATGACTTGCTTTCTACGGCCAGCTTCATGTTTAATTTAAAAGGTCACAGTGTGCCTTTTGTGGTGTCCAGCGCTGTGCAACTGTCTCACCTCTATAACACAGAAAAAAGCACACACACACTAGCGATTCACGCACTCAGGAAACGCAAATGAAAAACATAGCTTTCTAGCAAGCTTTACTGTTCCATAACATGTACAACCTAGGATGTCTAGAATAAACACACAACACACATATTCCTTTAAAAGCTCTACATGGGGTTGCCTGAAGTATGATTAAAAAGTCATCTTGAGTTTCTCAAACAGAACTTGTGTTTTTATTTATCACAAGACAGTTATCTTTTTGTATTACTCTTCAAACACATTAATGGGTTAATTATGCAGCTTAAAGTTCCTAATAACCCTCCAGTGTTCTTGCTGTGCCGTTAGAATTAGGTGAAATATTTACACAAAGTGGATTTAAAGCAAGGGACAGTGTTTTCTATATAGGGCTTGGTTTGTTTTCTCCTCCTATTTGCTCCTGAGGGGGATTATATACTGTCAATCACACTTGGACTGGAACCCTCAAATCACACCCTTGCAGCAAAGTGGCCTGATTTTTGTCAGGCAGAGAATGGCCCTTATCAGTAGAACCTTGTTTGGGAGACTCACAAAAACCGCTACAAACCGCAATTCACTCCGGAGATCTCGTTTACAATCTGCCCGGCCCATCTGCTGCAAACAGCCGCGCAGCTCCACTCTGCGCACCCGACGCGCGCGCGCGCGCCTTAACATCCTCACGCTCGCCGCGAGGCTCGCGCGCAACGACACTCAGTACAACACACAACATGCGCCGCAGCAACTCCGTTCTGCTCAAGAGCTTTGGTACACCGCTCTTGCTTCACGCTTTCGGGTCATGAATATGTTTCTGCCTACTCTATCTGTTGCACATTGTACATGCTTCGCACTGTACAGTCTTTTGCCTGACATGTACATCTGCGCGCTTCTTTACACTCTTCTCATACAGGAGCGCTTAAGAAACCTGACCATATTAATTCTTACGCTCGAACGCACACCACTCGCTTAAACCTATTTTCATATCAACCTCCTCATGACTCCCTACGCGCTCGCGCTTTTGCAACCGCTAAACCTCTAAAAATAAGACAGAACGTGACCCGCAAATAACTCAAATCAACTGCATAACGGTTAAAAAAAAAAAAAAGAAAACTCAACCGCGATCTGCGCTACATCAAATAGCGTTTAGGTGCTTCCTGTGCTATTTGACTACAGTATTTCATTAGGCATATGCATACATTTGGTGCAAACAATTGGCCCTTTCAAGCTATGCAAATGAGCTCATTGCAGAAAACCGTCAAATTCACTACGATCACTGCTTTAGGCCACTTAGCACCTTCTTGAGAGTCGCCTGTCATACTCATACTTATGTTCTTTTCCGGATGTATGCAGTTCAAAACACCATAAGCGTTTATTTCTGTCACGAGTTACATTCTTATAGTTTCTGAAGAATGCCTCTGTTTGGTCAGGATCTGAAGCTCGAAGGTACCATTGAAGACGAACATATAGCACATACTAAATGTATTCGCCGTGTTTTTGTGTCTGGTGTTCAGTTAGTTTAATCTTGTTTACCAAGACTTCAGTGCGACTTCTGTGCGTGATCATTTTATAAAGCCAGAATTAACTCGAGACGCTAGATTAGTAGGATTTTAAAGGACTTTTTTTTCGTAAACGGTCCGTCTACAAGCTTCTGGTAATTTCCATATCTCTGAAGAACTGTACTACACATACATAACTTAGATGCATCCTTTCAGTTTCCATCATCTTCTCTCAACA